CAGTTTGCCTGTCGATTATTCTCTTGCAGTAGAAAAAGTGCGTTGTTTTGTTTAGTTTCGTTTTGGAGTGGAGATGAGCTGTTAGTTGGTTTCTTTGTTTTTATTTTTGTTTGCTGTTGTTCTGTTTTTCTTGCTTTGAATGTTTGTTTTATTTATTGTTTATTTAAAATTTGTGTGTAGTGTCTTTATTTTGTTGTTTAGTTAATTGTTATTCGCTTTGTTTTCTTTTTTTTTTTCTTTGGGTGTGGGGGCGGGGCTGTCTCGAGATCTCCTCCTTTTCTTCGGAACTTGTTAGACTTGCATGTTTCAAATGAAAACGTTAAGGGTAGTTTAATTACATTCGCCTCGTATGCCTCATATTATGCTGCTCCAGTATTCTGTTGACGGATAGAGAGGACAATCAACGAAATGGCCATGGCATTTGTGAGGCAGCGTGATGGAATCAGGCTCTCGTCAATTTTTGGGCTTGTAGAATTATTGGTATCATCTTAAAGCTTGTTCACTAGTCTTTATTATCTTGAATACAAGTGGAGATATTTGCGAATGAAGGAGGTGGGGGTCACCTGTTTTCAGAGATAAAATTTGTGAGAAAATTGCCGCCAAAGATTAGTTATTTCCTTAGCTTAAGAGTCAGTGGTAACTAAAAATTTACATTTTTTATGCTTTAATCGACTTTTTTCAGAAAAATCCACACAGAAATGAGTTCTTTAATGGGCATAAAAGGTGTTGAACCAAAAAATAAAAATTATATAAAAATTCACAAACCTGTGGGAAAATGCAAGTTTCTTCATTTTGATTATTTTGACGAGAGCCTGATTCCACCACGCTGCCTCACATTTGTTAGAGCAGTTACAATTTTAACTGTGGTAGTAGAAACAACTTTATATCTCCTGAATTTCTTTTTATGTCTGGTCTTTGCCCTTTCCTGTTTGCTGCCACGACTCTGTAATGAAACTCGACAGACAGGATAAGTATATGCTATTCCACACTTAAATCTCTTTACGTCATGAAAAATGGCTGAGACAACAACATCCAATTATCATGAGTACTCGTTTTTGATTGTCTAAAGAGTCGTTTTTGATTGCCTAAAGAGAGAGGATGCGGAGAGGGAAATAAGAAAAATTTCAGAAGTCAGATGAGCACTGACAGATCTTCATCCCGTCCCTATTAGATTCTTGACAGACCCAATAGCAGGTCAGGTCGTTGAAATGGCAGTGATGATAGTATAATTTATTATTGTTCTACATGGCTGATCAGCACGACTTGATTTCCATCCCTTTCACTTGGAGCTTAGGCTACATATAGCTGTGCGTATACGTAGGTGTGTGTGTGTGTGTGTGTGTGTGTGTGTGTGTGTGTGTGTGTGTGTGTGTGTGTGTGTGTGTGTGTGTGTGTGTGTGTTTGTGTGTGTTATTATCATCATCATTATTATTATTATTATTATTATTATTATCATTACATTTATACGGCTCTTATATTTACGCTCCACAGCATGCTCTTCGCGCTTTACAACTATTATTACAACTCTACAACGAAATGTAAAATTTCGGACAGAAAATCTTTGTATTTCTAGCCTAGAGCAAAATGTTTCGCCTGGTCCATATGTTATTTTACAATAGGTGAACAGGATCTAATCTTCAGAACTAAGGTTCCATAGTGTTCATCAATGTGGTTGAACTTCGTTCTGAAAATTGTATTGTCTCAGTGAAAAACTGGGTGAACAAAAACAAATTGGTGCTGGATTATGATTAAAACAGAAGTACGGTAATTCTAGCAGGCAGTGCAAAATCTATTGACAATGAAATGGGCAAAGATCACATGAAAATTGATGATGCGGAAATAACATTTTCAAGAAATATAAAAAATATTGGCGTCTGTTTTTATTCTGTTTTGTCAATGTCGGCTGGGGTAAGCCATTTAAGCGGCAGCGTGTATTCAAAAATAAATAAGGATAATCAGTAAGATATGCCATATAATCAATACTGAGTTAACTGCTTTATTAGTAGGCTAAGTAGCTTAGTTTTATAAAGATTTAATCATTATAACTCCTTGTTATCAGGAATATCTCCGACGAAAGTAAAAAGACTTCAAATTTTTCAAAAACAATGCTGAGCGTTTAGTTTTTTCAAGAAAAATAAAGTGAGACTCTATCACCCTTCTTTTACCAACACAGCACTGGCTTCCCTTTGAGAAAAAAAATTAAGTGCAAGTTGACCACTGTAAATCATAAACTGTGCTTGGTGATGCGCCATCCTATTTTTTATGAAATGAGTTGAAACGATAGACCTCAGCTCGCAGTTTAAGGTTATCAGCTAACAAAAAGAAATTACTTTTACCGTTTATGAAACTTACAAAAATGGGTGAAAGGGCATATGTATATCATGTCCTCTGCAAGATCTGGAATGTTGTTTTTTTTCTTGTAGTTTTTTAACGAGATCAAATTTTTATTCATTCAAACGTTAGCTAAAGTAATTTGTATCCCAACGCCATAAAATCAGGCCTCGTCAATGTTGGGCATACATAGAGTTATTAAATTGGTATCATCTTATGCTCGTTTGTTTTTCTTTGTTTTTCTTGAATAGAAGTCGAGATATTTGCAAATGGAGGAGATGGGGTCGGCTGGTGTCAAAGGTAGAATTAGTGAGAAAATGACAGCCAATGTTTGGTGATGTCCAGAGCTGTTGTGTCCTTGGAAACTGCAAATTTACCTATTGTGTGCCTTTAATTAACCATTTTCGTTTTTTTTAAAAATCCACACAAGAATGAGTTTTTATATGGATATAAAAGGTGTTGAGCCTAGAATTTAAAAATCGATAAAAATTTACCCAGGGGCGGAGAAAAATTCATTTTCTTTAAACATATCCGTGCGTCGTGTTTTACTATCCATATCCAAACGACGTGTCGAACTCTGTGCCATCACTTTCCAAAGAGGAAATTTACTCGTTAATCCGATCCGTGCACTTTGCATAGCAGTCTGTCAGAATTATTTTTGGAGAAATACAGAAGGTTTCAAAGAGATTTTCGTACTAGAAGTATTCTAAAATGTGAAGAATACAACCACGGGGGTACAAAATGACCCCAGGGCTTACGGATTATTTTGACGTGAGCGTGAATACACCGCGTCGTGATACATTTCTGTTTTCAGATCATTGAAATACTCGTATACTATAGATTTTTTTTCAGAACTCAGTGTACTGTTTTTATGTTGCTTTATTGCATTTCTAAATTGCTCAAACCCAGTGTTCATCTATCGCGGACGAGCGCTATATAAATACCATGCATTACTATCAGTAATTATCTCTCTTTCTCTCTCTCTCTCTCTCTCTCTCTCTCGCTTTCTCTCTCTCTCTCTCTCTCTCTCTCTCTCT